GTATGTGTCGGCCCCGAGGGTGACGAGGCCAGGAAGGATTACCAGGCCTGGCGGCGAGCAGAAGCCAAGGCGGACGACGCCCAGGTCTTCGGCATCTCGGACAAATCGGGATGGTAATTTCGGGGCTCCAGTCAGCGGGGTAAATGGCTGCGGCTCCAGCTGCTCGTGCTCCCGCTGTTGCCTGTGCTGCTTGCCCTTCCAACTTCCCCCGCCTCGCTTACAGGAATCCCTGAACAGTCACGACCATTCTGTGTTGTTGGGTCCTCGTTTTGAAAAGACGGTCCCCGCGTTCCTCTTCCCTTCTCCCCTCTCCCCCTCCTCCCTCTTCCCCTTCCTCCCTGCGCTTCACCCACCCAGTGCAGCGTGTCATGGCGCCATGAGAAGCTCCACTGAAGCCCCCAGAGGGACCATCCGCATGCGCTCTGGAAGCCCACTTTGGCACACCCCTCACACGTTTCGTGGCCCCATGGGGAGCTCCACCGACGGCCCCAGTGCCACCGTCCGCATGCGTCCCGGAAGCACAACTTTGCATTTTTCATCCACACAGTACAGCGTTTCGTGGCCCCATGGGAGGCTCCACCGAAGCCCCCAGTGGGACCGTCCGCGTGCGTCCCGAAAACCCAATTTGGCATCTTCACCCACCCAGTCCAGCGCTTCGTGGCCCCATAGGGAGCTCCACCGACGCCCCCAGCGGGACCGCCCGCATGCGTCCTGGAACACCCAATTTGGCAATTTCACTCACCAAGTGCAGCGCTTCGTGGCCCCATGGGGAGCTCCACCGAAGGTCCCAGTGAGACCGCCCGCATGCGTCTCACGCGCCCAATTTGGTTTTCACCCACCCAGTACAGCGTTTCGTGGCCGCATAGGCCCATAGGGAGCTCCACCGAAGCCCCCAGTGGGACCGCCCGCATGCGTCCCACACACCCAATTTGGCATTTTCACTCACTCAGTACAGCGCTTCGTGGCCCCATAGGGTGCTCCACCGACGCCCCCAGTGGGACCGCCCGCATGCGTCCTGGAAGCCCAATTTGTTTTTTCACCACGCAGTGCAGCGCTTCGTGGCCGTGGCCCCACAGGGAGCTCCATCGAAACCCCCAGTGCCACCGTCCGCGCGCGCCCCGAAAGCCCAGTTTGGCATTTTCGCCCACCCAGTACAGCGTTTCGTGGCCCCATAGGGAGCTCCACTGACGGCCCCAGTGCTACCGCCCGCATGCGTTCCCCCCCACCCAGTACAGCGCTTCGTGGCTCCATAGGGTGCTTCACCGAAGAAGCTATTCACAACTGCGGTACCCACAACTGCATATGGTCGGGCCCTTCGCCAGATAATGTTCATTGTTTTAACTTGGAAATGGCACAGCCCCTGGCACGGCAGATTGCCATCCATGCCTTCAGCATTGCAAGTGCCTGTCGTCCAACCAGGTGTCTTGACTGCGCTTCAATGTCTCGCATTTCGCAACTTCTTTTGGGCTTCGTGGGTCGATCATGGTCGTCTTCCCTGGGCCTCCAGGAACCGAGAACGAGGAATGTCAACATCGACGACTCGGCATGAGAAGCTGGCCGCGAGCCGCTTGAGGGACGAAGGCGCCCTGCGGCATCCTGAGTGCTGCTGCAGAGCCCCTCGGCCAGAGCGTCATCTCATGGGTTTCACCATGACGGATCCAGTTTCTGTTCGGCAGCAGCTGTAAGTAGCAGGCGTCCAGATGCTCGCCACGAGGTGTGGAGGCGCCCCGCGATAGTTCAGGCAGCTCTCTTTTGCCGCTGGCGATGCGAGGCAATGAGAAAGCTGGCCTTGGGGAAGGGCTCCCGAGGTCCGGGGGCCCACGTCTCGAGCCACGTCGAGCCGCTGCATGTCTGGGGATTGGCACGGAACCCGTGGTAGGGACGATGACTTGCAGTATCGTGTTCAGCTTCACCGAACAGAACCAAGCGCAGACGCATGGGGTCCCCCTCCCATTTCGGCGCACCACTCACACGTCTCGTGGGCCCATGGGGAGCTTCACCGAAGGGCTACTGACAACGGCGGTATCTACAACCGAATATGCCCGGGCCTTTCGCCAGGGCTATTACCCTTGCCATCTTCGGCCTCGCGGGGGGGCGTTTCTGGGCCCTGTGCGCGCCCAAAACTTGTCGGGTCAAGAGACCCAGCCAAGGGGGCGGCATGATCCGGTCGGGGCTAGGACGAAGGTACATCTGCTCCAGAGCGTTCTGGAAGGCTCACAAAGCGTTCCGGAACGCTCTGAGAAGGCCGCGGCGCCCGAGACGTCTTCCAGAGCTGCCAGGTCTCAGAGATATTCTCGATTTATCCTCATCCGATTTTTACCTAACAGCGAAGACTGATAGGCTTCTAGTAGGGTCAAAAGAGAGCATCATGACGCCCCAGGGGGGTCTGGGCGCGATCCGGGGAAGTGCCGGGGACTTTTTTTAGCCAACAGTTACACACTTCGTGGTCTTCGAGGTCCCAGAACTCCATTCCCGGGCCACATTCTGAATGCCCGGAACCAACTGTAGGCCGCTTCGTGGTCTTCGAGTTCCCAGAACTCCATTCCCGGGCCACATTTTGAATGCCCGGAGCCAACTGTAGGCCGCTTCGTGGTCTTCGAGTTCCCAGAACTCCACTCCTGGGCATGATTTTGAATGCCCGGAGCGAACTGTAGGGCACTTCGTGTTCTTCGAGTTCCCAGAACTCCATTCCCCGGCCACATTTTGAATGCTGAGGCAGGCTGAGGCTGAGGCTGAGGCAGGCTGAGGCTGAGGCCGAGGCTGAAGGCAGACTGAGGCTGAGGCTGAAGCAGGCTGAGGCTGAGGCTGAGGCAGGCTGAGGCTGAGGCTGAGGCAGGCTGATGCTGAGGCAGGCTGAGGCTGAGGCTGAGGCTGATGCAGGCTGAGGCTGAGGCAGGCTGAGGCTGAGGCCGAGGCTGAAGGCAGACTGAGGCTGAGGCTGAAGCAGGCTGAGGCTGAGGCTGAGGCAGGCTGAGGCTGAGGCTGAGGCTGATGCTGAGGCAGGCTGAGGCTGAGGCTGAGGCTGATGCAGGCTGAGGCTGAGGCAGGCTGAGGCTGAGGCCGAGGCTGAAGGCAGACTGAGGCTGAGGCTGAAGCAGGCTGAGGCTGAGGCTGAGGCAGGCTGAGGCTGAGGCTGAGGCAGGCTGATGCTGAGGCAGGCTGAGGCTGAGGCTGAGGCTGATGCAGGCTGAGGCTGAGGCAGGCTGAGGCTGAGGCCGAGCTGAAGGCAGACTGAGGCTGCTGAGGCTGAAGCAGGCTGAGGCTGAGGCTGAGGCAGGCTGAAGCTGAGGCTGGCGTCGAGATGCTGAGGCAGGCTGAGGCTGAGGCTGAGCTTATGCAGGGAGGCTGAGGCAGCTGAGGATGATGCCGAGGCTGCGAAGCAGTCTGAGGTGAGGCTAGGCAAGGCTGAGACTGGGAGGCTGAGGCAGGCTGATGCTGTGCAGGTTTGAGGCTGAGGCGGAGGCTCTTGCAGGGTGAGGCGAGGCGGCTGGGGCTGAGGCCGAGCTGATGCACCTGAGGCTGTTGCTGAGCAGGCTGGAGGCAGGGGCAGAGGCAGGCTGTTAAGCTGAGGCTGAGGCTGAGGCCGAGGCTGAAGGCAGCTGAGGCTGAGGCTGAGGCTGAGGCAGGCTCAGGCTGAGGCAGGCTGAGGCTGAGGCCGAGGCTGCAGGCAGACTGAGGCTGAGGCTGAAGCAGGCTGAGGCTGAGGCTGAGGCTGATGCTGAGGCAGGCTGAGGCTTAGGCTGAGGCTGATGCAGGCTGAGGCTGAGGCAGGCTGAGGCTGAGGCCGAGGCCGACGGCAGACTGAGGCTGAGGCTGAAGCAGGCTGAGGCTGAGGCTGAGGCAGGCTGAGGCTGAGGCTGAGGCTGAGCAGTCTGAGGGTCTGATGCTGAGGCAGCTGATCTGAGGCTGAGGCTGTGCCAGGCTGAGGCGGGGCAGGTCGAGCTGGGCCGAGGCCGACGCGCGCGCTTGGCTGGATGCTGAATCAGGCTGAAGCGCTGAAGGCTAGGCTGAGGCAAGGCTGGGCTGGCTGAGGCAGGCTGATGCTTGAGGCCGGCTGATGCTGAGGCTAAGGCTGATGCAGGCTGAGGCTGATGAGGCTGAGGCCTGAGGCAGACGAGGCTGAAGGCTGAGACTGAGGCTGAGGCTGAAGCAGGCTGAGGCTGAGGCTGAGGCAGGCTGAGGCTGAGGCTGTGACTGCGACTGCCGTTGCCACTGCGACTGCCATCGCGAATGCGACTACGACTGCGAGAACAGCAGAATTCTACAACAGGATTCTCATCTGAATCTTAAGGGGAATGCTTTCAGATATGCTCCTTCACATCGCTGTTAGGTTGATTTGCCGGGATACTTTATTATCGCCCTGGCTTCGTCTCATACCAGGCCAAAGAAAACATTCCAGGGGTTGCACGATCGCCCCCTGGCGAACCGATCCCCTCTCCCCACAAAGACAAGCATCGGGTTGGGAGGATGGGCTTGGGAGAGCTGAGCAGGTCTTCCGTAGTATCGCGTGTGGCCACTGGGGTCCTTGCACAGTCGTGCCCTGTATTTTCCCAACCCCGTCCTCCCAGCATGGTACTTGTCTTCTCTATCACCTTCCCGTGGCGCTCCTCCTTGGCCGTCAGCCCGAATCTCTGGGGGGGGGAGGCTCGTCGCGGAAGGGGGCTCGCCACGCGCGGGGGCGGCTGGCGGGGGTCGGGAGCTCCATGGCTTGGCCACTCGAGCGCGGAGCGCCGCTGGAGGGCTGGGCACGCGCGGCGCGTTCTCCAGGGGAGGTCTTGAGGCCTCACCGTCGGGGCCCTGAAGAAGGAACCCTTTTCGTTGGGGAGGGGCTCGGTGTTCCTAGATTGTTTCACAGCTTGCCTCAGGTTTTCCTTAGGTTTTCGAAGGGAAATCGAAGTTTAACTTATGGAAAAAAGGGGCCTCATTCTTTATTTAGGGTTCCTTTGGTCAACGCCCCGACTCTATCTTGGAACCCTGAGATCCTGGCGTTGCAATTTTTTCTTCACGCGGGTTCCGCCCGGCTCCGGGCCCGGGGTGCGTACGATGGTGCAGGCCTGGCCGGTGGCAGCACCTGCGTAGCCTTA